TAACTGATACCAGATGAGAACTGATTGTATTATATTTTCTGAACTTAATTACAATGAGATCAGATGATGTGAATATATAGAATAGAGAGTCACAGTGTGACAATGATAATAAGTAGAGAGTCACAGTGTGACAAGGATAAGAAGTTCTAAACAGACTCATATACATAGAGTCCTAATAATAAGAAGTTGACTCTTCGTAACACAATGTATGACTGTGATAAATGTAAGAGTACTTGGCAAGAATAATTTGCAGCACTACCCTACAATAGTGAACCTAAATCATTTTCTTAGGAATAATTTGCAGCACTAAAACAAATTAAAAGATTAGAAAACGTGCTGAAAAAGAACTTAATACCTATTGATAAAGACCAGAGCTGATTTGAAACTCACACTAGAAGATTGTATAATATTTTCTTTTAGGTACTTTATTTAGTACCAAGTTTAAGTCACAGATCCTGCTTAAGTAATAAGACACTATTCAAAGTAATACAAATTTGAAGTATTTTATATACAACTCATACTAAAACAAAATGGACATAATGTTTTGGTCATAAGACACTAATCAAAACTATATCACTTGACCCAAAAACGAAGTTAGAAGAAATTAAACTGTGACTAATACTGATAGTATGGCTTAAACCAACACTTTACAATACCAGTAGACAGTCCGGGATGTAAGTAGTGTTATCAGTATATCATTGCAGAAAACTTTGATATATCAGTATAACTAAAAAAATTTAGATCCAGTTTCAACATGTACATATTGCCATAAAGGTAAAAGTAAGCATAAATAATGATATTATTCTAACCAGGTATTAGAATAATTGCATCAGATTTCATTATGATCATGTGCAAATAACTCAACAAATGTGTTAAAGACAACAGTATAGCTAAAAAAAAAAAGTATGGAAGTATTTTTTGCAAATTCATCTTAGCATAATAAATTCATCTTAGCATGTAAAGGCATTCATCGAGAACTATTACACTTACTACTGATAAATTTCCACACACCCAGAAATTATGATTATAAGCATTCAAAGGTTATTATCTAAAATTAGTCTTATAGATTACTGTTAGTGTATATAACATTCTAAACCTTAGTTCTATAACATGTTTACTGACTGTTAGGCATCAAGAGACTATATAAAAGCTTACAAATACAAAACTAAATCATTTCAAGGGAAATTAATTCTCTGCAAAAATGAATATGTTAAGCTGAAATAGAATCAGCAAATACCAGATAATGTAATTTCGAACTAAGTCTAGAGCCAGTATCGCTGCTCTTAGGTAGTTGGAGTTTAACACCCCCTAAAACCAAACTATTTAAAGCCTTAAAACATGCAGATAACTTAAACCAAAACACCAAACACAGCGGAAGACTGAAAGATAAGGTATATATAAAACAAGGAAACAGGGTGCTATGCCACGCTCACCCAAGGGTGAACGCACAGGCTAAATCTGCATTGTTTAATTCTACAATCATCCAACAGAGTTTTATGTCTATATTGGCTCACAGGCCACAAAACACAAAGGGGAAACTATGCTAGCAGGCACTAGACCGCGCACTCGTCTAAGCATCACCTGAAAGAAGCATATAAAACATGGGACGACGCCCGGTCAGCGAATAATGCTGGTAACCCACCAATACATGTGAAATATCATACATAAGTAAGATATACATTTGTAAAATCATTTGCGAAACGGAATACTTATATATAAGTCAAAAACCAAGAGTGATAGTCAACACAAGACTCAACGCTCTCAACAAGAACACAGGAACACATCCCAAGACCGCAAAGAACAACAACAAGTCACAAGAAGTCTCGAGGTATGGTCTATCATCACACAATAGACCAACACCCGACATGCATAACTCAAAGGAATAAAGACACAACAAACGGCAACACATGCCAAGGCAACACATGCCTTTGTGACTACACATGTCACAAGAAGAGAAGTCACAACAACGGCTACACAAGCCCTCGTGACATCACACATCACGAGTTGATATGCCTTCCTTATGCCCGGTTCCAACCTTATGGCTACCCCCAACCTTATATCTAGTTCCAACCTTTACCTCCAGGACCCCTGTACACCAAGTCCAACCTTATTCCCCCGGGAACTGTCGTTCCCCCTCCAACAGTCCCTCCAACAAAACCACCGATTTCATAGTACACGAGGGTACCGATCACACACGGCAACACATGCCACCCAAGAAGCACGTGAACCTTACACAAAGGTCACAAACTCCATAATCACGTCACGGCCACCACGAGGACCGCTACCGTACCTGGGTGATTAAGGCCCCATAAACCGAAATCGTGCAATCCAGGTACAGCCACGCACACAACACCTCAACAGGAATCAATCAACGGATCACAACGAAGATATGAAACCATACTCAATCAAGGAATGGATCACAGTCCAACAACAACGATGAATAACACAAGTTATCATCAACCAATCGGAAGGTACAAACAACACACACGCTAGCATTTAAACACCAAACTAGCATGCTTATCAAACGGGTAAACCAAACGTAGTTTCGAATAACACACAAGACTCATCACGGTTCAACGAAACACAATGTTGAACACTTAGCACGATTCAAGACACCAAAGACCTACATTGATACCTACCATATAGTTCTAGACATACGAAACATCAAGAAGACGCTCAAATAGTTCCACAAAAGAACATCGGGAAGTCAAAAGACCAAATACCGAGTCAAAAGAATCACGGGAAACAAATCCCCCATCAACACCACATCGTACCCCGCGGGTAGGCCCACGGGTAGGCCCCTACCCGTGGTTCCGCCCGTGGGTACAGGCCACCCAAAATATATACCCCGCGGGTGCGCGGCGGGTTGGACCCCTACCCGTCGTTCCGCCCGCGGGTACACACATGTGCCCAAATAATCCCTTCGGGGATTTTCAATTCCAAGCTCAAATTCAAGTCCAAAACATGCCAAACTCACCCAATACAACAAAATGACTTGAATCAAAGGAATAGCCAAGCAATGGCACAAATGGATCCTAAACACAAGTTCTAGATATGCATTTTCACAAGACAATGCATAAACACTCACCTTTCATAGCCAAAAACACATGTAGAATCCAAGAAATATTCACATAGGTAAGCAAAATAGTTTAGGACCCTTTTTCCCATTGTATTTAGAATTATAATGCTGCCCCTATACCTATAAATAGGGCACATCCATATCAGTTTCGAGGAGGCTTTAATTCAATAAAATTCTTAAGTTTTTCTTTACACTTGTGTAAGAAACCTTATGGCTAATTGTGGACTCAATTAGTGGCTAGTCGTGGACTCTACTAGCAAATTGATTCGTGGACTCGAATCAATCTTACTTTCTTCAACCTTAGATTTAGGTTCGTGGACTCGTTCTTGAATCGAAGGAAACTAGATCCGACTCTAGTTGATTGAAGATTGCAACATCAAGGTACTTGGAGCTACATGGGATTCTTCCATGTCTTTGAGGATTCGAGACAAAGGGTTTCTCGTGAGGTTTAAGGTATTTTGATCCATCTCTATCTTTACTTTGAGAGCATTCTTGGGACAATACTCCATTTTTTTTGAACCTTGGACTAGGTTCATATCAATTTTAATAATAGGAACCAGTACACATGGAATCCAATAAGGGTCTATAGTGGGCTCATCACAAGGCCCATAACTACTTCCTTAAAGAATCATTGGTGGAAGAAACAAGAAGGCCCAATAATAATTACATTCGATAGAGGCTAGTATTATAGCGGCACATTTCAAGTGATATCATGGATCGAAGACAACGCTTACAAGATTCGAGGTCGAATCATTTTCAAGAAGGGGAGGATGATGCGGCCCAACATAATAAAGATCCATCAAGAGTACCAATTGGGCCAATCACAAGGCCCAAGTCCAAATGATTAAGACAACTCTTCATTGGTGATATTCAAAGATGGTGGAAATTCAAGTCAAGCCCATATGCAAAATATGAAGAAGAATTCAAGTCTTTTTATAATTGTTTAAGTGCTGATTTTGGTGATTAAATTAGGCCCAAATCAGCCCTATTATTTTTGGTCATCATTAATTTAAATTGTTTGGCATAAAAGAGAAAACACTAGTTGTATTTAGAAATGATTCCTTAATTCCTTTTCTAAATAAAACTCTATTTACTTGTTTTCTAGATTAGGTTTAGGACTCTTTTTTTCCATTGCATTTAGAATTGTAATGCTGCCCCTATACCTATAAATAGGGCACATCCATATCAGTTTGATTGAAGATTCAAATAAGATGGAGTATTGTCCCAAGAATGCTCTCAAAGTAATGATAGAGATGGATCAAAATACCTTAAACCTCACGAGAAACCATTTGTCTCGAATCCTCAAAGACATGGAAGAATCCCATTGTAGCTTCAAGTATCTCGATGATGCAATCTTCAATTGGCATAAAAGAGAAAACACTAGTTGTATTTAGAAAGGATTCCATAAATCATTATCTAAATAAAACTCTATTTACTTGTTTTCTAGATTAGGTTTAGGACTCTTTTTCCCATTGTATTTAGAATTATAATGCTGCCCCTATACCTATAAATAGGGCACATCCATATCAGTTTCGGGGAGGATCTAATTCAATAAAATTCTTAAGTTTTTCTTTACACTTGTGTAAGAAACCTTATGGCTAATTGTGGACTCAATTAGTGGCTAGTCGTGGACTCGACTAGCAAATTGATTCGTGGACTCGAATCAATCTTACTTTCTTCAAACTTAGATTTAGGTTCGTGGACTCGTTCTTGAATCGAAGGAAACTAGATCCGACTCTAGTTGATTGACGATTGCAACATCAAGGTACTTGAAGCTACATGGGATTCTTCCAAGTCTTTGAGGATTCGAGACAAAGGGTTTCTCGTGAGGTTTAAGGTATTTTGATCCATCTCTATCTTTACTTTGAGAGCATTCTTGGGACAATACTCCATTTTATTTGAACCTTGGACTAGGTTCATATCAGACCACCACCTCATCCTCAGACATACTCGTGGGCGTCACTCCCACACCTCTCCTTTCCCCTTCTACTGCCTCAATCATCCGTGGCTTCACCAATGGACGTGGTTTCCCACCTACCGGCACGAGCCAGCTGTCCCCAACCGCTGTAGTAGCGCTCCGGGACCCACCAGCCCGCATATCCGGACCGTACAAATACCTATCCACTGGTATCCCCGCTTCCCTAGCTTGTAGGCAAAACGTATGCAAGTGACCCATATAACCACAAAAATAGCAAAACTTTTGCAGCCGCTCATACCTGAAATTAACCCATGTTGTAGTCTTGTCTCTCTTCATCAATCTCATCCTCCTCCTAAGTGGCCTATCAACTGGAATTGACACCCGAATACGATGAAAAGTTAACCATGGTGCCCCTTCAAATCGCTCATCATGCTTAACAAAAGAGCCCAAAAAATTCCGTGCCTGTTCCAGAATTGCGTGAGATGTGTACCCCTTAGGCATGTCGTGCAGCTGTACCCACATATCAATCATGTCCAGCTCCACATCCACAGGATTCACCCCGTCCAACACCTCCCGACACACAAGAGCATTGTTCTCAAAAGCCCAGGGGCCCCCATTCAGAACGTAGTCCATATCTGTTTTGTGGAAAAAAACAAACAAGAACAAACCCCTCTGAATCTCCGTTACCTGCACCCCGCGCACTTGCCGCCAAACTGACGCTAACACCTGCCTCATAAAATCTAGTTTGATTAACTTTTGCGTCAAAAACCGCCCGACCACCCTCCATGTCTCCTCCCCACCTTCCCCGTCTCCCTCAACCCCGTCATCCTCCCCTCCCGGCATAAACACTGCACCCTCCTCCTCCAGCAGTGCCCAATCCGCCCACCTATCCGTCAACTCCGCCACATCCGCCACCCCCCGGCTACCGAACAACCCCCCCTTCCCCCCCCCCCCCCACGCTGCCCCCTACTGCCGACCCCCCTCCCATCCATACTGTTAGCATCAACTCCCGCCATTCTGCCAACCTCGCCAGATAGCCCACCTCCCCAACGTCACATACCACCATTACCCCTTACCACTTCCTCCCGCTGCATGATCTCCAGAGCCAACCCCTTGCTCCTTCCGATCACCCTCCCGGCCGAACACCCTCCGCCCGTTCGCCTCACCCCCTGCCTCCCCTCCATCGTCCGACGCAACAAAGTGCCGTCCGACAGCCCCCCATCAATCCTTTCGTCTTCAGCATTCGTCTCCCCCTCACGCCCAAGCAATTCGACGTCCATAGCAACGTCACCGGCCATCGTCCGGACAGAAGGAAGCGATCTTCGTTGAAAACCTAGGAAAACCCTAGTAGGAACTGCAAAAACCCTAGAGAGAATCTAGAGAGAGAATTTCAAAATTTAAAATACAAACCACTTACATAACTGCAAATATAAATATTATCCTTACATGAAAATCACGAGTGATTATTAACATAGCAATACACATATTTGAACTTGCAGCGGATTTCACAATTTTCATAATCCATGAACACATATACATCCATCAGCAACGCAAAACTCCAACAATTTCATAATACTTAGGTAAATAATTTACGGAGGCAAAAATAAAGCGGACATAAACCACTTACTTGAATTTCTTCTAAAAATCATCAAGAAACTTCAAGCCTAAACTTCCTCTGATCTTCTATAATATCATCCCTTCAAAAACTTGATACTTAAATTTTTGTTGAAGAAAATAATTTTTTTTTTGTTAAACTGAACGGCAAAGAGAGACCAGGAGAAGGGAGAAGAAGAAGAATTTTATTCCCTTTCTTTTTATTAGAATTAGAATAATTCGGCCAATTCAAGGAGATAAAGAAGGGGATTAAATCATCCCATCATTATCTTTAATTAAATTAAATAATCAAATATCAAATATAATTATTTTAGGATTTGTATCAACCATTCACCATCATTATCCAATTTAATTTAATTTGATTAAATCTCTTTAATGATAACAGGTGTAAAAATATATATCTTATTATTATATATATACGGTCACATACAAATATAATCTATACATAATCTTCAAATATATATATATATATATATATATATATATATATATATATATATATATATATATATATATTACATATAAAATAGTTTTAGTACTAAAGTAACATATTATCAAATGAGAACAAGAATATGAAAATTGTGGTGGCATGATAGTAAGGATCTTTATATTTCAAAGGAAAAGTTTAGCGTTCAAAACTCAATATAAACAATTTAATTTTTCATACATATATAGATTATTAAACATTTTTCCTACTTAAATAATTTAAAATTTTTGGGGTATCACAATCTACCCTCCTTAAAGATGCTTCGTCCCCGAAGCATAATCATAGGAAAATACCGGGTATTACAATCATCTCAACACGTCAATCCATCATCTCAACAAGAGTCAAAACACACGGAATCTAGAGATACAACAACACCTAGATTCCAAACAAAGTGTGTACAACAACGGATACCACATCTGTACCTTGGAGATTAAGGTCCCATACCCTTAATCGTGCAATCAAGGTACAACCAATACCCATGTTTTCATCACAGGAATCAAGGCTATATTTACTTGTGTTACACCCCGAAATCCAAATTCAATTAAGGGATTAATTAAGTAATTAATCCTATTTCAATTTGTATTTTAATTCCTTAAATTCCTGAAATTTATTAGTTGGGGACTAGTAATTGACTAGTCAACCCCAAAGTCAGAGTTGTACCTTGAGCTTTGTAAGGAGTTCCCTTGTTCCTTACAGTTCCTTATGTTAGTAAGGGTATTCTTGACCTTTCACTTGGTGTTAGTATTGTAACCTAACATAGTAGACCACCTTCATTCTTTCCTTACACTTTCTAAAAATCTAGCTCCACCTTCTCTCTAAAAAGGTGAGTAGCTTTTCTTCCAAGCCAAGTTGGAGCCTTGCCAAAACTTCAAGAGTTGCTTCCAAGATTCAACCTTTCATACATTTGGGCATCTAGGAGGGTAAGATCTAAGTTCATCTTATGTTTTTGGTTTTATCTAAGGTGTCTTTTCTTAAAGATAAGATCTTTATGATCTTTTGGTATGTTCTTGAAGTGGGTTTGGAAGGTGAGCCTTGTGAGGAGCTTGTTGAGGGGTAAAGTGAAGTCTTTAGTCTACAAGAGGTAACCCATGCTCTACAAAACCTATTTTGCTAACCTATATGTGATTTCTTGGATTCTACATGTGTTTTTGCTATGAGATGTGAGTGTTTATGCATTGTCTTGTGAAAATGCATATATAGAGCTTGTGTTTAGGGTTCATTTGTGCCCTTGCTTGGCATTTCCTTTGATTCAAGTCATTTTGTTGTATTTGGTGAGATTTAGCATGTTTTGGACTTGAATTTGAGTTTGGAGTTGAAAATCCGCGAAGTGTTTTGTTGTAGTACAGGGGTGTACCCGCGGGCGGAGCGGCGGGTAGGGGTCCAACCCGCCGCCCACCCGCGGGGTACACATTTCGGGTGACCTGTACCCGCGGGCAGAACTGCGGGTAGAGGCCTACCCGTGGGCCTACCCGCGGGTACGTGTTGTGATGTTGTTGGGGATTTGTTCCCCGTGATTCTTTTGACTCGGTATTTGGTCTTTGGACTTCCCGATGTTCTTTTGTGGAACTATTTGAGTGTCTTCTTGATGTATCGTATGTCTAGAACTATATGGTAGGATTCAAGTAGGTTTTATTAGTGTCTTGAATCATGCTAACTATTCAACGTTGTGTTCAGTTGAACCGTGATGAGTCTTGTGTGTTCTTCGGGACTATCTTTTGTTTACCCGTTTGATAAGCATGCTAGTTTGGTGTTTAAATGCAAGCATGTGTGTTGTTTGTACCTTCCTATTGGTTGATGATAACTTGTGTTATTCATCGTTGTTGTTGTTGGGCTGTGACCCATTCCTTGATTGAGTATGGTTTCATATCTTCGTTGTGATCCATGGATTGATTCCTCTTGTGGTGTGATGTGATGTGTGTGTGGCTTTACCTGGATTGCACGATTAGTGGTATGGGACACTAGTCACCAAGGTATTGCAGCGGTCCTCGTGGTGGCCATGACGTGATTATGGAGTTGTGGCCTTTGTGTAAGGTTCACGTGTTTATTTCTGGGATAACATGCGTTATCCAGTGGCATGTGTTGCCATGTGTGATCGGTACCCTCGTGTACTATGAAATTGGTGGTTTTGTTGGAGGGACTGTTGGAGGGGGAACGACGATTCCCGGAGGAATAAGGTTGGACTTGGTGTACAGGGGTCCTGGAGGTAAAGGTTGGAATTAGATATAAGGTTGGGGGTAGCCATAAGGTTGGAACAGGGTATAAGAAAGGCATATCAACTCGTGATGGGTGATGTCACGTGGGCTTGTGTAGCCGTTGTTGTGAGTTCTTCTCTTGTGACGTGTGTAGTCACAAAGGCAAGTGTTGCCGTGGGTGAGTCTTATTCCTTTGCGTTGTGCATGTCGGGTTTTGATATATTGTGTGATTATAGATCATACCTTGAGATTTCTTGTGAGTCGTGTTGTTCCTTGTGGTCTTGGGATGTGTTCCCGTATTCTTGTTGAGAGTGTTGAGTCTTGCGTTGACTATTACTCGTGGTTTTGCACTTATATATATGTATTCCGTTTCGAAAATGGCTTTACAACTTATATCTTATCTATGTATGATATTTCACATGTATTGGTGGGTTACCAGCATTATTTGCTGACCGGGCGTCATCCAATGTTTTATTGTGTTCTTTCAGGTGATGTCTAGACGAGTGCGCAGTCTAGTGCTTGCTAGTATCGCTTCTCCCTTTCGTTTTGTGGCCTGTGTGCCAACTTAGATATTGAACTTTGAGATAATGGGTTTAGATGTAAACATTGCAGATGTTGCCGGTGCGTTCATCCGTTTGGTGAACGTGGCATAACACCCCGTGTTCCGGATTATGTCTATCTATCTATCTTTCAGTCTTCCGCTGTGTTTGTTGTTTAGTTCAGTTATCTGCATGTTTAAGGCTTTTAAATAGCATGCTTTTAAGGGCTGTTAAAGTTGGTATCAGAGCCTAGGTTTGAGCCTAGGAAGGGTTAAGTTTAGACTTTCTAAGTGGCCAAGTATGGTTTGAGACCTTAAAGCGACCTTAAGAATCTAAGTGTTTAGGACTTAGGACTTTAGGACGCGCGGTGAGGTTGTGAGTCCTTGCGTTGTTTTCTGTTGTGTTTTATGTGCTTGTTTTCTTTTTAGTTTTGTTTCTCTTTTGTGAAGGCACTAGGTAAGGGTGCGAGCCCTAAGTTTCTTCCCCGTTATCGTGCTGTTGCTGTTGAAGTTAAGGATGGCACCATCGGGACGTCGTGCAAGGTCTTCAGAAGCGGTCACCAGCGAGCAGTTAGCTCAAAGCCTTCATCAACTGACGCAGATCACCCAGAGGCTAAGCAACGCCTTCCTCGACAACCACCCTCTTCAGAATGGGAATCGTGACATAGTACGCCAAGTCGCCAGTCTCCGTCCCCCGATCTTTGCCGGTGAAGAAGATTCCGCAGTGCTGGACGAGTGGATCCGGATGTTTGACAAGATCTTCAAAGTTGTGGTATGCTTGGAGAATCGCAAGGTGGAGTTGGCTACGTTCTACCTTCGGCAAGAAGCGGACTCGTGGTGGATGCTTGAAAGGCCAGCTCGAGGCAAGATCCGAAGTTCAGTTGGGAAGACCTGAAGGTTAAGTTACGCGAGCGATTCTATCCTGCTCAAGTCAAGGAGGCCTACCTTTGTGCAACCGACCTCTACCGAGTTCAGCAAGTTCAGTTAGGAATCTGGGAGAACCGTAAGAAGAAGCTTGACGAAAGCGTTTCACCTGTGGTTAGGAGTTTGACGGCTACTAGTGTTGGATCAACAGGGAGCCTGCAAATAGACGATTCTAAGAGAGGTAAGGCTCCCAAACCAATCCGGAAGATCAAGGCTAAGGGAAGGCGCTCCGTTTGCAAGAAGTGTGGAAGTGACCACCCCGGCGTCGACTGTCATGGTAAGTCGATAGAGTGCTTTGCTTGTGGCAAGAAAGGTCACCGGTCCTTCGAGTGCAAGGTAAGAGGAAGACTTTAGCGGACTCAAAACCAGTTGGTAGTGTAAGGCCCTGGTCGGGAAGTAAGCATCGAAGTAGAAGCGACAATGGGCTCAGTGGAAGTAGCAACCAAGACCTGTGTGCGAAGTTGGGACCACGGCAAGATAAGATCCACAGTCGTGAGGCAGATGCAAGTGGGAACCGTTGCAGTAAGCTCTTGTACCTTTTGT